ATGTGCTCCGCTTCGGGCTTCTTGAGATAGGTGGCAAGTTGACTCGCCGAGTACGACAGGTCCGGTCGGCAGGTGACGGCTGCGAAGAGCAAGCATCCCAGCTTCCGCTGGTAGTCGCGTAGGCCGGCAAGTCCGAGCAGAGTGGATTCTTCCTTGTGATTTCCGGCGGTGTAGCGGTATGGTGTGGAGATGGCGGCTGGGGTTAGTCCGAAGCGTTTTGCGATGGTGTCGGCGTATTTTGCGGCACTGAGGTAGATCGCGTTCTTTCCGTCGAGTATATTGAGTTGATGAGAAAGTAGCAATAGTGGAGGCTAGGTTAAGTGAGGGCCTAGGCTTAGTAGCCTAAGCCAAAGGGGGTCGAGGTAGTTTGTGCCAAGAGAGAGAAGAATGTTGGTTTCACTATGGAGAGGGTCACAACATATAGGGCAGGAAAGGGGGGTACACCACCAAGCAGGATATCAAGATAACTACACTAACGCTAGACCTACATGCAGTTATAACAACATAATTCTGACATCCCCCCGTAACTGCATGCAGGAATAGCCAAGTGCAAGACACAACCTGCAGGGATACATCATAGACAGAGAAAATAGCAACAGCAGGCAAGAGCAGATGCAAGTTCACAAAATAAAGACAAGTGGCAGCACTAGAGGGGCAGTGAGGAGGAGGAGTTGGGAGGCGGCAGGTGAGGCTGCTGGCTTCATGGCGGCTGCCTCCTGGAACCTCCCCCATGCTCCCAAACCCCCTCTGCACACTCCTCAACGTCCCTAGTGCCACTCCCCCGGCTCCCCACACCCTCACACCCTCCCCCCCCCAGCGGCAGCTGCAGCAGTGGGAGAGAAAGGAGGAGGAGGGGAAGGGGATCACACACACCCATCACCCCCATACCCGCCACCTCCATACCCTCCCCCCCACGGCTGCACGCGCAGCAGGGAGACGAAGGAGGAGGGGGGGGGGGGGGGGGGGGGTGGCGGGGAAGAAGCCGCCAAACGGCCACAGAGGGGCGGCGCGCAGGGAAGGGCAGGGGCGGCTGCACCGAGGGCAGGCGCGGGTAGGGCAGGGGCGGCTGCACGCATGTGAGGCAGGGGCGGGTGCTCCGAGGGCAGACGCGGGTGAGTCAGGGGCGGCTGCTCGAAGGCAGGCGCGAGGTGAGGCAGAGGCGCCGTCGCGGGCGCCAGGGGCGGGTCCGCAGCGGCTTAGGGCACCGTCGCGGGCGCCAGGGGCGGGTCCGCGGCGGCTCAGGGCACCGTCACGGGCACCAGGGCGGGTCCGCGGCGGCTCAGGTCACCGTCGCGGGCGCCAGGGGCGGGTCCGCGGCGGCTCAGGGCACCGTCGCGGGCGCCAGGGGCGGTTCCGCGGCGGCTCAGGGCGCCGTCGCGGGCGCCAGGGGCGGGTCCGCGGCGACTCAGGGCGCCGTCGCGGGCGCCAGGGGCGGGTCCGCGACGGGCAGAAAAAACGTCACGCGCCACCCGGGCGTGGGACATAACAAAAATCGCCACGCGCCCGAGGCGCGCGACCGGAAAAACAGCAGCGGAAGCGAGAGGCTGGCCCACAGGCCAGGACTTAACAGGCTCTGATAGCATGTTGAGAAAGTAGCAATAGTGGAGGCTAGGTTAAGTGAGGGCCTAGGCTTAGTAGCCTAGGCCAAAGGGGGTCGAGGTAGTTTGTGCCAAGAGAGAGAAGAATGTTGGTTTCACTATAGAGAGGGTCACAACATATAGGGCAGGAAATGGGGGTACACCACCAAGCAGGATATCAAGATAACTACACTAACGCTAGACCTACATGCAGTTATAACAACATAATTCTGACATGAGTCCCAGGTATTGGGTTACGGTGGAGTAGACGGTGAGTGTGAGATCTTGCTGCAGCTCCCCTTCAAACCAGGTGGTGATGCTTTCGGTAGATCCCATGTAAAGCAGATCGTCTACATAGACGATGAGCAGGATGTACTCGGCGGCCTTTGTGAGTCGGTACATTCCCAGATCGTGTGTCAGTTGACGAAAGCCAATGCGGATCAATCAGGCGTGCATGTACTGCTGCCACAGTCATGTGGCTTGCTTTATACCTTACATTGATTTCAGTAGCTGACAGACTTGATTAGGGTCTGTGACGGATCCGTGCGGCTGTTCGACGAAAATTTCCACGTCGACGGGAGCGTAGAGGAACGCGTTGGCCACGTCGATTTGCCGGAGCTTCTTTCGCTTCATGGCGGCTATCGCGAGGAGAATTCGCAGAGAGGTATGTGGGCTGACCGGCGCGAAAGTCTCGGTGAAGTCTCGTCCGTGATCTCGGTCGAAACCACGCACGACCCATCGTGCTTTGAATTAGTTGATTGTCCTGTCAGCTTTCGTCTTCACGCGGAAGACCCATTTTCCTGTGAGTACGGTTTTGTTGCGTGCCACTCCGATGGGTACTATATTCCAGGTGTTTCTGTCTTCTAGCGCCTCTAACTCCCTTTCCATGGCTTCGCGCCATTTTTCCCTGTGCTCCCCCCCCAGAGCCTGCTAGACTGTAGTAGGCTCTCGCGGCGGCGATGCTCCATGGACTGCGGTGACGAGGCCGAGAATTTGCAGCCCACTCAGTGTGCGTCGGGGGGGACTTGGATCATCGGGATAGACTGCTTCATCTCCCATTTCTGGATCAGGTAAGAAATTGGGGCCTATGCGTTCTAAGACGTTGGTGTTGACCGGCTGGGGTGTAACGTAACCATTGTCGGCGAAGTCGTTATAGACTTCGGCGTTGATGCTTTCGCGAGGGTTGTCGTCATCCATCGGAACTGGTACCGAGCAGCAGGGAAGAGGTCTGGCTTCCTCCGAAGCTCCGTCCACGTTTTGTTCATCCCAGTCAGCCTCAACTACTGGCGAGGCGAAGGCTCGGTTGCCACGGAAGCCGCCCGTGAGGTCTCGTTTTGCTGCTAAGTTGTCTAGGTACGTTTGGAGAGTGAGCCGTTTGTAGAAAATCACGTCACGTGCTGCTACTGTTTCCTTCGAGTGGACGTCGAAGATCTTCCACGCATTGTAATATTTTTCGATGCCCAGATGTAGCCCCCATTATGCGCGTTGTGAGAATCATTCAGCTCGTGATGTGTGGGGTCGGTACTGTACCTTGCACCCAAAAACCCGTAATATTGTGTGTTGCCCAATTTTCCTGTCCACAGCAGATGCGGTGATGCATTGTTCCGAAGCGAGGACGACGAGAGCAAGTTGTGTAGCAGTACAACTTGGTCCATCGCCTCGGGCCACTGATGGTTGGGTAGTCGCATGTCACGTAGCAGCTTCCGTGGCAAACGCCAAACGCGCTTGACATGAGGTGGAGCCGCGCCTGCACGTGGCTCCAGCCTGGTGTCAATGTTGGACACATTGAGCGACTTCCTACGATCCCATTGGTCGGTTTAGCTGACACCTGGAGAACTAGTCTTCCATGTGTTTTCCGAGTTGGTGTCTTGACACCAACCAATCTTGACACAAGCCTGGAATACGACCTGAGAGTGACACTTTCATGAATGTTCTCGCTAATACATGTGGTGTACATTTGAGCATCAATTTCTGAAACAAATATATAACTCCTAATAAAATAGACCTGGTCATTTATGTTTTTTTTTTTTCTGTACCCTGAAAAATCGGGGTGTGGCTAGCACCGGTGCCCTGTGGACGCCAATCTGTTTAGGGCCCTTGCCCTGAGGGTTCAGGGTGCTCTATAACGAATCTGAGGCCCTTCCAGAGAGACTGTCACCTCTGCGATTGCACGACCACCAAATAAAGTTAGAACCAAGGACACAATCAACTGTACAGCGACAGTTTCGACCGACGCAGCCTGAGCTGGAGGAACCCAGGAAAGCAGCTCTGTCTCAAACTATGTTTGTATAATATGGGTAGGCAGTAGTGAGGTACGTCTTAGGGGGTACAAAAAACTCTTGACACTCTTCTTGTACCCCCCCTTGCTCTAGTAACATCATCTTTCTCCCTACCTACCTAAGCTTAACAATTTATGAGACTCTGGTACCAAGTGTTATGAGTTGTAGATGATGAGAGTGTACGCTAATGGATTCGCGGTTGTGTTACAACCATTGAGCAAATAACAAAACGTAGCAGTATTATGGCGAGGGACCTAGCTAGGTGAGGACCTCGGAATGGGGTTACTATCGATTCCGAAGACGACGCGGGTCACGATCGGGAGGCGAGGTCGTCGGACCGAGTCTGGTCTCCTGAAAATCTGGAGTCGTTTGCGTAGTAGCGTCACTCAGTAAGGAATCTGGAATTTTTTCTTACAAGCCGAGTCCTTCAAAAGTCGTGGTTGTTTTCTATGCAATTTTTCTTAGTTTAGGTTTGAGCAAGGTGTATCCATGGTAATTTGGGGCTTTAAGGTCATTTATCGGGCACTCCCATTTCCTTGCTGGTCAGAGGCGGTCACGGGAAGCCACGATATTGTCACTTGCTGGTCGCTCTGTTGTCATTGGACGGGTGCCGCGATAATATTGGAGATTTATGACGCGTCAGCACGTCGGTGGAGTGCAAGCAGAATCATACGTCCAACGCTCACCGTAGATTCCTCCAGGAGGCAAAGCTACACAGGATCTGGCCCTAATATGGGGGAAACCAAGTAAGCAAATCTTCCCCTTGTGCATGACGCGTGGCTCCAACCCACCTTTTGTGGAGGAGGGCAATTCTATTCGAGTTTACGTTGTGGGGATGACGGGTGTGGTGTACAAGTGGAGCTTGGTCTACACCCACCCTTCAAACCACAACTCCCTCCGGTTTCTCCCACCACCAGCACTTGCTCTAATCTTGTTTCTCACCCACCCATTCCATTTGACACCTTTCTCGCACCCACCATTGTATTCTCCAACTTCATCGCCAGATCTTCCAACGCCGGCCGCCATCGCCATCCCCATCGACGCACTTTTCGCCATCCTCATCGCTATTCCCGTCGTTTAGATACCTTTCTCCTTCCGCCTCGCGAAACCTGATTCTTTCCCACACCCAGAAGCAGCAACCACGATGGCCGGCCGGCGATCCGCCATCAGCTTGGCGACGCGGATTTTCTCGTCGCTCGAGTCCTCCGTCGCGCCCGCCGCCATTCTCGGGCAGCAGGGCACGCTGGGCGCCATGCTGTCGCCTCCAAATCAGCCCGTGCGGCGCCTCAACGTGCACGAGTACCAGGTCAGCCGCGCGCCGCCTGGATCTCAATGTCCATCCATCCCGTCGAACGTTGCAACCGCGGAACGGCCGTCTGAAATCTTAACGTTCCTGCCGCTTCAACCTCTCCCCTTCTCTGCCCCTCTCCATCTCGCGCTCGTCGATCTTTCTTAAATCCGCGTGGTCCTCCTTTTCCTGCCGTGCTCCCCTTTGTGTCGCAGGGCGCGGCGCTGATGGGCAAGTACGGCGTGAACGTGCCCAAGGGCATCGTGGCGTCCACGCCAGACGAGGCGCTGGCCGCCGCCAAGCAGCTCGCCAGTCCGGCGGGGCAGGTGAGAATAAGCCAAGTGATGCCACTACGAGCGCTCGCGGCAGCCTACAGCTGCGAGAGCGCAGGAAATGCGGCAGATGCTTCGGGGCATCCCACCGATGCAGCGTGCCGTCACCGTTTTTCTGCTCATGATATATCAGCAGTTTCCTCACCTGTCGTGCACCGTCCGCGCGCGCTTTCTGACCGGCTTGTGTGTGGTGCGCGCGTGTGCGCAGGTGGTGATCAAGAGCCAGGTGCTGGCGGGCGGACGCGGGCTGGGCACGTTCAAGAACGGCTTCAAGGGCGGCGTGCACGTCACGGACGTGGACCACATCTCCGACTTCGCATGTACCCACGCGCTCCCACACCCACAACCCCTTTACCTCTCTTGCTTGCTGCTTTTCTGCACGTTGCCTGCCACTGCTGCCTTTCACGGCCGATGCTTTCCCAGCCGCACTCCGCGCGCTCCGGATGCTCATTGCGGCCCGCGCGGTGCACGAGCGAGCGACGCGTAGGTTGCGATTCACCGCTTCTTGGTAAAAGTGCTCGCGGCTGACTCGAAGATTCTGTGCTCTTCCCCCCCCCTTCACACCCCCCCACCCCGCCCCGTCCCTCCCCACGCGTGCAGCCAAGATGCTGGGTCAGATCCTGGTCACCAAGCAGACCGGAGCCGCCGGCAAACCTGTGAACAAGGTGAGCGTCACGAGGTGTTGAGAGCAAGCTGTGCATCACGCGAGAACGCTTTCAGCGCGCCAGTGCGCGTTTCAGTCGACTTAGAAGGTGTCGCGCCAGCCTGTACACATTCCAGATTTGTGTTAAGATTGGATGGTCGTCCGTGCACATTTACGACTAAACTCTCGTTCCTCCGCATGGCTTGGCCCTCCGTGTGCGTGGGCGTGGCGTGGCGTGGTGGGTGCAGGTGCTGATAGCGGAGATGCTCAAGGTGACCAACGAGATGTACTTTGCCATTCTGCTCGACCGCGTCTCCGCCGGCCCCGTAAGCCCTCGCACCCGCGCACCCGTTCCCCCGTCGCACCCGCGCTCCCGTTCCCCCCTCGCGCCCCGCCCTCCTCGCACCCGCCTCCCCTTCGCTGCGTGCTGAGCCATTGTGGTGACCGGGCCGTGCATCCCTTTTTCTGCACCGTCGCCCCTCGCTGCGCCGGTGGCTTGCGCGTTCAGTGGAGCGGTGGCTGACAGGCACGGCATGCTCGTGTGCGTGTGCATGTGCGTGTGCGGTGGTGTGCGGTGGTGTGCGGTGGTGTGCGCGTGGCAGATGATCATCGCGTGCGGCGAGGGCGGCACGAGCATCGAGGACCTGGCGGAGAAGTACCCCGACAAGATCATCAAGGTACCCTCGCGCCCTCGCGCCCCTCGCGCCCCTCGCGCCCTCGCGCCCCTCGCGCCCCTCGCTCCCCTCGCGCCCCGTCCCTTGCACTCTCTCGCCCCTTTCCCCCCCACCCCGTGCGCTTAGTCAAGCCACTGCCGTTTCTCTCCTCATTGCACACCTCGTCTCCCACCCCCTCCTTTTCTGCGCCGCAGCCAGCCCTCCGTCTCCACCCCCTCCTTTTCTGCGCCGCAGCCAGCCCTCCGTCTCCACCCCCTCCTTTTCTGCGCCGCAGCCAGCCCTCCGTCTCCACCCCCTCCTTTTCTGCGCCCGCCACACCCCACCCCTCTTCACCTCTCACTCCCCTGCGTCCGCCCGTGCGTCCGCCCCTGCCTCCGCCCGTGCGTCCACCCGTGCGCCCGTGCTCGCAGATGCCGATCGACGTGTTCAAGGGCATAACGGACGAGCAGGCGAGGCAGGTGGTGGAGAAGCTGGAGCTCAAGTACAGCGACAAGGACGCGGCCGTGGAGCAGATCAAGCGCCTCTACAAGATGTTCGTCTCCACCGACTGCACCATGCTCGAGGTCCGCCCCGCCCCTTCCCCTACCCGCCCCTTCCCCTACCCGCCCCTTCCCCTACCCGCCCCTTCCCCTACCCGCCCCTTCCCCTACCCGCCCCTTCCCCTACCCGCCCCTTCCCCTACCCGCCCCTTCCCCTACCCGCCCCTTCCCTACCCGCCCCTTCCCCTACCCGCCCCTTCCCCTACCCGCCCCTTCCCCTACCCGCCCCTTCCCCTACCCGCCCCTTCCCCTACCCGCCCCTTCCCCTACCCGCCCCTTCCCCTACCCGCCCCTTCCCCTACCCGCCCCTTCCCCTACCCGCCCCTTCCCCTACCCGCCCCTTCCCCTACCCGCCCCTTCCCCTACCCGCCCCTTCCCCTACCCGCCCCTTCCCCTACCCGCCCCTTCCCCTACCCGCCCCTTCCCCTACCCGCCCCTTCCCCTACCCGCCCCTTCCCCTACCCGCCCCTTCCCCTACCCGCCCCTTCCCCTACCCGCCCCTTCCCCTACCCGCCCCTTCCCCTACCCGCCCCTTCCCCTACCCGCCCCTTCCCCTACCCGCCCCTTCCCCTACCCGCCCCTTCCCCTACCCGCCCCTTCCCCTACCCGCCCCTTCCCCTACCCGCCCCTTCCCCTACCCGCCCCTTCCCTACCCGCCCCTTCCCTACCCGCCCCTTCCCCTACCCGCCCCTTCCCCTACCCGCCCCTTCCCCTACCCGCCCCTTCCCCTACCCGCCCCTTCCCCTACCCGCCCCTTCCCCTACCCGCCCCTTCCCCTACCCGCCCCTTCCCCTACCCGCCCCTTCCCCTACCCGCCCCTTCCCCTACCCGCCCCTTCCCCTACCCGCCCCTTCCCTACCCGCCCCTTCCCCTACCCGCCCCTTCCCCTACCCGCCCCTTCCCCTACCCGCCCCTTCCCCTACCCGCCCCTTCCCCTACCCGCCCCTTCCCCTACCCGCCCCTTCCCCTACCCGCCCCTTCCCCTACCCGCCCCTTCCCCTACCCGCCCCTTGCCCGCTCCTTACCCGCCCCTTGCCCGCCCGCCCGCCCCGGTGCCCAACCGCCCGCGCGTCTCCTCGCCCTCCCCGCCCGCCTTGAGCGCCAGCCAGTTCCCCATCCGCTCCGTCCCCCATGCCCCCCGTGAACAAGCCCCCTTGTTTTTCCGATGTTGCAACCTGCGCTCCTCTCCTTACCACGTCGTGAGCATGAATATTTAATGCCTACTGCGTTCGTGCTGACCCTGGTGCTGTGCCATTGTGTGTGCTTTTCGGTTGTGCGCGCGGCAGATCAACCCGCTGGCGGAGACGGCGGACGGCAAGATGGTGGCGGCGGATGCGAAGCTCAACTTCGATGACAACGCGGCGTACCGCCAGAAGGACATCTTTGCCCTCCGAGACGAGTCGCAGGAGGACCCTCGTGAGGTGAGCCGCGCTGGCAGGGAGGGAAGGTGATATGCCAGTGAACGCAAGACGATGCATTAACTACCATTCCACTGGCACCATGATGATGCTCCTTCACCCCACCCACACCAACCCACCCACTCCGTGTGCACGTGCCCGTGTGCCCCCAGGTGACGGCGAGCAAGGCGGACCTGAACTACATTGGGCTGACGGGCGAGATCGGGTGCATGGTGAACGGGGCAGGGCTGGCCATGGCCACCATGGACATCATCCAGCTGCACGGCAGCAGCCCCGCCAACTTCCTTGACGTCGGCGGCAACGCTTCCGAGGACCAGGTGGGCTGCCTTAGGAGTATTGCTGTAACTGTGGGCCCCTGTTTTCTGTCGTTCTTTCTCTCTCTCCCCCCCCCCCCCCCCCCCTCTCCCCCACCCACCCACCTCTCTCTCTCGATTTCTCAATCTCCCGTCCCCCTCTCTCCCCTTCCCCTCTGCCTCTCCGCACCTCGCGCCGGGCATGAGAGCAGGTGATCCAGGCGTTCAAGATCCTGACGTCAGACGACAAGGTGAAGGCCATTCTGGTGAACATCTTTGGCGGCATCATGCGCTGCGACGTCATCGCCAGCGGCATCGTCAATGCCGCCAAGCAGGTACCGCCTGCCTGCATGCCATCACACGTCTCTTCATTCAGCAGTGCCTGCTGTGTTGCTCATTGCCGGCACTAACAACCACTGCTGTGCCGTGTTGTTTCAGGTGTCGCTAAAAGTGCCGCTGGTCGTGCGGCTGGAGGGCACGAACGTGGACATCGGCAAGCGCATCTTGCAGGTTCGCCCACGTGTGCAGCGTGCTGTATGGTACGATGGCCTCTCATCGTGCTGGTTGATGTGATAGCCTCTCATTCTGTAGCCATGGCCTTCTGTGTGCAGGAGAGTGGTCTGCCCATCATCACTGCTGACGATTTGGATGATGGCGCCAAGAAGGCTGTAGAGGCTGCCAAGAAGGCCACGGCATGAGGAATGCTAAGCTTCAAATGCATGGTACCGTACTGCCATTGTTTTGGCACATGAAAGATGTCACCATATCGGTAACAGGGACGATCTATACCTGAACTGTGCCTTGACAATGTACTGCAGTACCCTCTCGAGGCACTTGATACCTTGAGGAGATCATGTACGGTAAGGTAATATTCTGTTTAGGACTGTTCATATGGTCTTACTTGATGAATCCACCTACAGGGAAAGAGCGTATCTACCCGACCTATCGTAACATAATCAAGAAGAAAAGGAAGGGTTCTTATCAGAGACAAAGTATTAAAGCACCTGCCATCTCCTCTACTACCCTGTTGGCAAAATAGTGACTCCCCCCCCTTCTGGTTGGGTCCAATTGAAAACACAAGTTTCTTTGGAACGTTTTGAAAAGTTGAAGTGCTGTTCATTATTTTTTTCACCCGAGGATGACTATCTATGCGAACGGGGAACATTTGCTAGAGTAAGGATCTTGGATAGGATAGAAATGCCTTAGAGAGTTTTGATAACGAAAATCTTGTGGTAGGGTAGGAACGTTGTGCATAGTGAATGTAGATGAGAAAGTTGATTAAAACATAAATTACATGTATAATAAACAGATCTAGCTAGCCATGTACTCTGAGAGGTACATTTTCTTATTCTAACTAATTTACATGCAATTCTACAGTGATTCTGATTATTGCACTTCTTCTTGTTACCGGGTCGCTGCGTGTAACCGTAAAGACGGTTACGCCTGTTGCCAATCCTCGATGGTGAGTCAATCAGCCCAGATGGTCAACAGTCGCGACAGTTTGACCTTTGCGACTGTTAACCTTCATGCCATTGATACGGGCTGATCCGATATTGCTGCTAGTGCTGCTTCGATAGTGACGGGTGCGATACAGCTGCACCTACGGGAATGCTAACTCAATTCCCTTCATACTCCAACACTCCCCTTCATTGCTGGAAGTGCGCCACGTGGCTCTTTTGAACAACTCCGCACAGGTCCGGGCAGTACTAGAACTTCTGACGTGGCAGTTTCTTCGTCAGAAAATCAGCTACCATCTCGCGAGTTGGGCAGTAGGTGAGATGGACCTTCCCTTTGTCGATTTCGTCCTTGATGAAGAAGAAACGCAGGGCGATGTGTTTCGTGCGGTTGACGAAGCCCGGTTTGTTTGCGATCTTGATCGCGCTCTGGTTGTCGCAGAGTAACTTGAATGACCCGTTCATCGCCGTCTTCGTTTCCTGTAGGAGCTCCGTGAGGTAGAGTCCTTCGCGAACTGCTGTACTTGCTGCGATGAATTCCGCTTTTGCTAACGAGAGGGCGACGAGCTCCTGTTTCTGTGCGTTCCAGGAGATGGTTCCTGCAGGCTCAAGCTTGAAAATGAAGCCTGTGCGGGACCTCATGTTGTCTGCATCCCCAGCATGGTCAGCATCTACGTAGCCGGTAAGCTGTAGAGTAGCCGTTAGATTCGCCTTGTAGGTGAGACCGACATCGGGCGTAGAGACGAAGTATTGTAAGGCGCGTTGCAGGTCTGCCATGTTCTCCCCTTCAGGTCGGCACAGATACTGGACGAGCTGGCTGGCGATGTAGGATAGGTCAGGGCGGCATGTGACCGCGACGAACATTAGACACCCGAGCTGCTGCTGATAGAGACGGTGGTCGGCCGGGGAGAGCGGGGTGGTGTCGGGCTCGTGGTGATGCCGACGGGAGCAATGCCGAACTTCGGGTCTCGGCGTATTTCGCGGCGGAGAGGTGGATCGTGTCGGCGGTCTGAGTGACGTTGAGGCCGAGAAACTGAGTGACATCGTGATCGATGGTCACTTCGAGCTTCTCCTTGATGTCGTGTTCGAAGCGATCGAGCAGCTCTGTGTTGTCCCCGGTGTAGAGCAGGTCGTCCACGTAGGCGACGAGCAGGATGAAGATGCCGCGAGACTCAAGACGGTACATCCCCTGATCGTGGGGAAGTTGCTGGAAGGCGAGCTCGTTGAGCACGGTGTGGAGATACTGCTGCCATAGGCGTGGCGCCTGCTTGATGCTGTACAGGGACTTTTGGAGAAGGCAGATGGCGTCGCCGTCTTCCTCGAAGGCGTGCAGCTGCTCGGCGTAGATTATGGCGTCGACGATCGCGTAGAGGAACGCGTTTAACACGTCGATTTTCCGCAGTGGACGCTGTTTCACGGCTGCGACGCATAGGAGAATGCGGGCAGAGGTGTGTCGGCCGACGGGAGCGAATGTCTTATCATAGTCCACGAACTGAATCTGTTCGAAGCCGCGGACGACCCATCGTGCTTTGTACTTGTCAACAGTCTCGTCCGCGAGAGTTTTGATCCTGAAACCCACTTCCCTGTGAGAATCTTTCTCCCTTTTGCGTGTCGTCGTGGTACCAGCTTCCAGTTGCCAAGCCGCTGTAGTGCAGCGACTTCTGCGGCCATGGCTGCTCTCCACTTCTCAGCATCGGGCCCGCTGAAGGCCTGGCGAACGGTGGTGGGCTCGACCGGCTGCTGGTTACCCTGAACGGCGACAGCAAGTCCGAGGATGCGAAGGCCTGTGAGGTTGGATTCGGCTGCGTTGGTAACTTCAGCCACGTCGTCGTCGTCGCCAGGGATGTCGCGAACGCTGTCGCGAGAAGAATTGCGAGCTGGGTCTTCGTCCATGGGTGAGTGCATTTCTGCACTTGCGTAATCGTGCTGTGCCTGTACTGCTTCGTGTTGATCAATTTCCGTTGGGAAGAAATGTTGCTATCCCGAACTCCTCCGTAATCGTGCTGTGCCTGTACTGCCTCGTCCGCAGTTGCCTCGTCTGGCTCTTCTCCTGCCACGTCGACATCATCCTCGTCATTGGCGTAGCTGTGCTGTCCCTGGAAAATGTTGTCCGGTGCGTTTTGTGCAGTGCGGTGCGGTCGGTACAGTGGCAGGGTCAGTCTTTCGTAGAAGATGCAGTCACGTGAACGCATGAGCTGGTGGGTGGTGAAATCCAGAATTGTCCAGGCGTGGTATTCGGATTCGATTCCGAGGTGAAAGCCCCATCGAGCGCGGTCTTCAAATTTTCTGGTCTGGGCAGTGTGGGGGCGGTAATGTACCATACACCCAAAGACCCGCAGCATGCGTCTGTCGGGGTGTTTGCCCGTCCACTCATTGAAAGGTGAGGTATTGTTGGGCAGTGCCTTCGAAGAAAGCATGTTGTGCAGCCGAATTGCATGCGCCATCGCCAAGGGCCAATATTTGGTTGGCACAGCTGACTGTTTCATGAGGGCTCGCATTTTTGTCGTGAGGCTCCTGTTGGTTCGCTCTGCCAATCCCTGCTGCTCGTGAGCGTAGGGGAGGGAAATCATCCTCCGGATTCCCTTCTGCTTGCAGAGGGTTTTAAACTCCTCTGACTGGAATTCTAGGGCTCCGTCCGTTTGGAATGCCTTCAGCTTCCCTCCTTCGCTCTAGGTCTCCGCCATGCTAAGTCAGACTTCGAAGCACTGGTAGGCGAGATAGCGGTTGCTGGCATTTACGGCCCAGACGAAGCGGGTGCCGGCGTCGATGAAGGTAAGTGTATACTGCTCTCCTCAGACTCCTTTTGCCGTGAGCACCAGGAAATCGCTGTAGACCTTCTCAAGTGGCTTGTAGCGTTCGGCTCCAGGTATCTTCTCGGTGAAGGGCGTATTGACGTAGCGCAGCTGTCGGGTAGACGGCGAAGTTAGGTAGGTCGGTTCTTGGCTTGAGTAGCTTTCAATCTGGCAGCAACAGTGCGTCTGCCGCAAAGACGTTTCCGTTGATGCAGTTGTTGAGCGCTTCAATTGATGGGTGCCCAAAGTGTTGGTGCCAGATGTCTCCGTCGGCGCGATATCCCTTTGTGCGTGCGTAGAGCTCCTTCTCCTGTGCTAATATTGTTTCTGCGGTTTCCTTCCCAGCTTGCTCCGCAGGTTCGTCGGGTACAGTGACTTGAACTGCCGCTGCTTGGAGTGTCGCGCCGTGGTATGTCCCGCTGGTATCGCCGATGGTGGAAGTGTCGATCGTCACTGGAAGCTCCAATGGTCCTTCAGGAGGCAGCGGTGTGACTCGTGGACGACGATCTTCCGGCTGCGTGACTTCTCCTTCTTCGAAATCGGTGTCGCCGATCGCCGCTCCCCTTGTCTCGATGCGAAGGTAATCCATGCCGTCCGTTATGATGGGGATGAGGTGAGGGCCGTACTCCGTTAGTGACTCTTCTTCCTCTGCCTCTGGTGCCTCCTCAGTGACTTCTGGTTCCTCTGCTGCTTTTGCCTCTTCTGCTGCAGGTCCTTCAGTCACGTTTCCCCATTCAGTTTTGGCTGCAACGGTTTCTTCCAGCGCGGTGTTCTCCATGACCCAGCGTACGTCTACTGCGTCCCAGCCTTCAGTGGTGTTCCAGCTGGTAGGTCGTTGAACACGGGGCCAAATCGCTCGCGCCCATCTTCTGACTTCCGTGGTTGGCGCTTCTGATATCGTGACTGCCATTTCTGATGTGATATCTTCTCCTTCTTCTACCGCTTGTGGTCCCGTGTCCGCAGGGCTCGTGGTCGAAGCGACGGGTATGGCAAGAGCGCGGAAGGTTCCATCGAGGCCGGGTCATTGATAATCGATCTCTCCTGGATGGCTCCACGTTGGTGGTGACGGTTGGCCGGGTGGATCAAGGACGATGATATGGTTGTTGTCGCCAGAGGTCTTGGGTGATTCAAAGACAAGTACGAACACTCCTCCTTCGCTTGTTGCTTTTCCGATTAAGATTTCGTCGTGTATTAAGTGAAGCTCGTTTTCTGTTGTTTGCAGCGCGACGCCACACTTTATCGGCTGGTCGAGGGACAGAAGGTTGTACTGAAGCTTGGGCACGACGAGGACGTCACTGATGTGGATGCAGTAACCGATGTCGTGCGATTCTGATCTGGCCGCGGTTCCTGGCGTAGATGGTCTGGCTGTTGGCGACGGTGATTTCAACCTCGTTGAAGAACTCTTCACTGTTGAGGATGAGGATGCTCGACGACACCATGTGTTGGCCGCAA